TCATTTCAATTTCAAACTCTATCAAAGAGTGTTATTTTCTACTAGCCATTTTTTGCAGCCTACTTTTTTGCACCTCACTTGTTTTCTCATGCAACTCTGTTGTCCTGGGGAAAAACATCGATGGGGTTATTCTCTGCTAAAAAGGTCTGTTACGATTTTCCTTCTTTGACGTTGAAATTTGACCTTCTAAATACTTGGGTTTCACTGTGAAAGGTGATTTTTTCTACACATTGATTGAGTTGTTTTTTTTTTTTTCTAGTGGTTTAACAGAGAGCCATCAACCTGGCACCAAAGAGTAAAATGGGATTCTATTTTATTTTTTCTAGAGAAAAAAGAAATGGGAAAACTTTGCAAGATTATTATGTCTTGAAGGATAACTTCATTGTGAAAAATAGAGTACAGTAAAACAGAGAGAGCAAATACGCTGCACTGACCTATATAGTCCGATATAGTCTGTATTTCATCTGACTGTGATAATCCTGGATGATACTCTTTAATTCTGCTAAGACTATTTACAAGAAGCTGTGCTCTTTTTTTTACTCTTTTAAATGGATGGAAAGTAATACCATTTTAATGGTATTTGATAGGAGTTTGAAAAATAGGAACGATTGACAAAATGACTGGCTTTTTGAAACTGGAAGAAGGTGAAACAATGGTTGTATTGTCCAGGCTGGGGTATCGGGGCTCGCAGGCCACCTGTAATTTTTTCTTCTTTTGGAATAAACACCTTTAACTTTTATAAGCATGGTAGCCCCCCTTGTCATGTGAGATGTTTGATTCGCATCTGTGACTGCTCTCTCTTTCTCCTTAGTGAGGAAAAGGTTTTGCTTATAGGAAAGTATTTTAATATTTCATTAATATCAAATAGAAATGTTTTTCAATTCATTCATGCCCATGAAAAAAATTTCTTAAAATTTTCTGCAAATAATTCCCTGTGCTTCTTATTCCCAGGTTGTCTTAAGAAAAAAAAAAAAAAAAAGTACATTTTATGCATTTATATTTTCTATAATTTTTGATTGGCAGAGTAACTTTGGAAATCGACACGTTAAATATTAGACACCATGGTATTGTGCCAGTGCAGAATGGCAAAGATCGCTGCTTCCTGCTGGTGCACATTGAGACTAAGCATTTCTGGGTAAAGAGGACGACCCCGGTGTTCTGATTTCCCATTATGCTGCCTGCAGTAATGAATTTTCAATCTGCTAATGAAAAGTCTAGGAAAATTGGAAGGCAGAAGCTGGCAGGTAAATATGACAAATTTGTTTTGGCCTTTCTGTTGGCTAGAGGAGGGCTGGAAAAGAGAGGCTGCCAGACAGAGCTTCCTGGCAAGGAGCATTGACCTATCCCATACCTTTGGAAAAAGCACTCTGTGTGTCTAGATGGGATACAAACTTCGTCCTCGTTGCATCTGGGAAATCGTTTACAGCCTGTTAGCATCAGTCTGGAGACTGGAATGTTCCTGTCTCTGCGACTGATTTACACCCTGGGCCAAGGCTCAATAAATAAGATTGATACAGCAAGCCATCAGCGATAGACATCCTTTTGTGTTCTAAGTCTGATGATTATATAGGCTTAAAGTGGATTTTGTCTTTTTATAGTTCAATCTTTTTCCTTATTTTAATTATTGCTTTCCATTTCCTCAGTACCTACGTGTGCCATATGAATCTTGGCTCCTCACCTTGCATTTGGCTCTGGATGAACACCTTGTAAGAGATCTTCTTAGCCCTTGTGGCAGTAGCACAAACTCAATTGCAGAATAGTTTCAGAAAGTTCAAAACCAGTATCTTGAGCTTGTTCTGTTTTGTTCATTTTAGGCTTATAAATAAAATGCTGTTATTAATCTCATCAGTATATTTTTAAAATCTTTTTGCAGAGCCTGGTATCTATTGCTGTAGTGCAAGTACAGTGTGATCGCATGACTGATGAAGTAATTGCTATTATCTATCAGTTTTTTTCCAGTTTATTTGGAGGGGCACAAAACAGGGAGACTAAGTTGGCTGGAGGAGGCAAGATACTCCTCTGTCATTCTGCAGACAAGAGTTTTAAGGGGTAAAAAACACCATGTTTTTTTAATTTTTTTTCTTTATTAAGCAGAATAGTAGTACACTGTGAGCCAATGTAGAAGTGCAGTAAATAGGAAAAAAATGTTGTGGCACTTCTACATTCTTAGTTTCATCTGGTTTTTAACTACATTTATTAATGTGCTTGTGCATTTCTGAATAGATAGTGCCAGCAATCCGCTTATCCAGTACAGAGCAGTTAGTGCAGATGAATGTTAGTCCTTGGCAGAGTTTCTTTTTGTATTGTCTATAATTTTTACCAGGTGATATAATTATTTCTAACTATACAAATATAATTGATTAATACAGGAGGAGAAAAAAATACAACAAACCAAATCTTACTCCTCAAAAACAGGAAAAAGTTTGTGTTTATGATTGTCTCTGTGTGTGGTTGCTTGTCTGTCTTAATTTGTGGTTTAGGTATGGTGAAGAAATGGTCTTTTGCCTGCCTTTCTATGTCTTTCCAGCTTAAGAAATACTTAATTCTCTACTTAGGATAGCCAAGCTATCAGCTGACATTTGGAGAGCATCATCCTAATTCTGCAAAGGGTGGATAGACTTGATGTTCCCTTCCAGGTATCTTTTAGAGTGCAGAAATTAAACCTCAGTGATTCAGATTACATCTACCATCTATTTGAGCAACTTCCTTGTCTGCAGGAGCCAGCGTGGTAGTTGAGATCGGCTGGTCAAGGCGTGGTAATAGGCTTGGATTTTAAATGTCTGGGGGCTGCAAGCAGGCATTCGCTTTGCAGGATGTTGGAGCTTGCTTCTTCCCTGCTTTGGCAGATCTGGGATCAGATAGCCAGATAGCTGAAGGAATCAACTTGTATGGAAGATAATCTTAAAACTAAAATAACATCATTACACCAACTATGGAACCTTTAATATTCTATCTATTTCATCATCTGTGGTGAAGGCCTGCATTTTTTCCCTGTTTTTGTTTTGTCCTTAGAAATTGAAGACCATTCATTGTGAAGACCATTCAATGTCCTTTCATTGAAGACCACTTGAACCTATCACAGGTGCTTACTGATACCCTCCTTCATAGGGAGAAGCAGTAGAAATACTAAATCACTAACATTGACATTCTTTCTCTCTGGTGGTCTTTTAGGCAATTTGAATTAGGACACTAATTTGAATGCTGTTTGAAAGCAATATGAATGCTAATAAAAACAAAAGAGAAAAATCTTACACTTTCGGTCCCTGCTTTAACCTGCCCTACTCTTTAGGATAATGCTCTTCAAGGTCCAGGGGTGAGGCTTGAGGAAATGTGAATTAGGAAGGTGGTCAGCTTGGGAAAACACAACCCTGTTGTTTGTCCTGCACAGCTGGAAGATTTCTGCTGCTAGCTCTGTGGCTCCTGTGCAGACTGCTCTCCCAATGCCAATTCTGGTTCTGGAAGCTCTGTAACGGGATGCCTCCTAAAAGTGGTTAGGTAATGAGACAAAATCCCACAGCACTTTCCAGTTTCTCATCCTTGGAAAAGTTGAAGTTGGCTATTTTAACCTCTTTGCTGATTTTTTTCTCTTAAATATGTGGAATCTATTTTCTAGGTGGGAGTGCTTATTGCCTTCTGGCATTGCTACTTCACATATGGCTCAGGAAGCTCAGATCAGGTTCCTGAACATGGAATTAATCTCATTCTCCGGCTATTTCTGCATCCCTTCCATCATCCTGAACTGTATCAGATCAATGCCAGGTTTCCGCTGGATTAAAACATAGACGAGTCTAATAATATTAACCCTACTTCTCAGCTTTCTGCATTAAAAATGTTGAGCAGTATTTTTTGAAACCACTTCCAGAAAATGAGAGACTCTGAGTGGTATAACATGCTATTAGATGGTAATAGTTAATGGTTATCAGAAGGCTCAGGTGTTTGTTTTTGTTTTTTAAAGCGGATTTTTAAAGTTTATTTTCTTGCAAAGTAATTCCTGCAATATCACTCTGTGTACTGAATTGTCCTCACAGGAAAACTTTAAGATTTTGTTAGTCAATATCTAGTAATTTGAAATACATAGTAGGTGAACAGTGTTGAGATTGATAGAAGAGAAAGTGAATGAATTCAGCTGAAATGTGTTGTCATCACATCACAGAAGTATTTTAGGGCTTCTTTTCTAAAATGTAAGCATTAAGGTGATACACAAGATACATTCAAGTGTAGCTACTTTATTTTTTTGCTTTAGGGAAAAATAAAAAAAAAGCTGAATTAATTGTGCTTACTTTGGCACCTAGGTTTTAGATACTCCAAAGAGAAGCTTTAAGATATTGAAGATTAAATCTTCCAAAATTGCTTTCAAATCCCATTTCCTTCTTGGCTGCCACAGCAGATTCCAAATGCGTCTCCTCTACATTTATTAACTGTGTCTGCCTGTTAACTGTTTACATGCTCAGAAGCACGTGTAGGAATTGTGTGGCAGTGGGACACCGTCTGGTATTGGATCACTGTGGTGCTTTTGCTCCTTGTCTTCGAATCCCAGAAGGTAGCTGCATGTGAGCTAATAGTTGATCTGAACCAGGTGGCTATAAAATTATATTGCTTATCTGTTGTCATTTCATTTCAGAAAGGTTATGTGCTTTATTTCAGAGGATGGGTGACTCTGTAGCTTATGTCCTCTCGCTGATGTCTACTCTGCTTCTTTATATCAAACTGTAACGCCTCCCTTTTACCTAATTGGAGATAAAAACACGTATAATTTTCAGTTGAAACTCAACCACAACTGAGCAGTGTGTTCCCCAGCCTCTTCTCCCTTGCTTGTATAGTATCTGTCTTTAAGCTTTGATGTACCTTAGAGGTAGCCAACTCTGTACCCAGGGGTCACAGTGGTTCCCTGCGTAATTCGGAATCCTTGTTTTCTCTAAACGGACTTTGTCACCAAGAGAGCAGTGGTAATGTAGATTATTCTCATTTTCACTTCATTGTCATTCTAATAAATTCTGAAACTGTGTATTCATACAAATACTACTCTGTAATAGTACACAAAGATAATGGTCTGCTTTGATGAAAAAATGCACTTTGGAATAATATGATGTGAAAAACAATTCACAAACTAAGAGAAAGAAAGAAATGAACTTCTGAAAAATACTTCAGTTGGAAAATCTCTCTCTGCTAGGTCTACTGCTGAAGTATACTTGTGCAGGGAAACCTCTTTGTCAGAGTCATTTTGTCATTTTGGTCTCCTCACCATTCCTCTCCTGAGATACCAGGTGTGTATGTGTACGTGTTTGAGAAGTGGTAGCTGAAGGACTTGAAGCTTTCAGGTTTCTGACTTAGGTGCTAACTTTCATTATCAGAGAGACAAACTTTCCATGCTCCTCAGCTGTCAATGTAAAATATTTTCATTTTTATCTGTATTACTCCACTGCCATAAAAATATAATTTAAATATAGTATTGAAAGCCGTGGTGGATTTAAAATTGTCACTGCTTTTTCTTGTCTTAGTCATCATTCCATTTCTTAGCTGCTTGAAAAGGGCACCACTAAAAATTGATGCTATTATTTTTCACTTTAGATATGACTCTAGTTCTGAAGCATTACGGCTTGTTCACAGTCTGCCTTTTCCAGTGGCTGTAATTGAAAACATACCTGCCAGTTTCCCCAGTTTTATTCAACTGAAGCCAGATGCTGGGCGTTTGGCCTCACACTCCGTCCCTCTTGGTCCCTCTCTCTCTTTGATCAGGATAAGATCTGTAGGGCTGGCAGCCCTTTTGAAAATGCCAGAGCATTTTCGGATGCCCATCATACTGTGGTCATGGCAGTAGGGTTTTGCCCCTGGGCATTTCAGCCTTGGTGGCTACACAGCTGTTGTGACACGGGTGGTGCTACTTCCCTCCTGAGTCACAGCCAGCTCCCAGGCAGAGGTATTTTTGTAAATAGCACCGTAAAATCCCAGTCGCTGAACTTAATGAAAAGTATTTGCATTTAATTGCAGGAGGTTTTGTTTGGACTTCAGGCTTTTAAGGAGATAGATGTGTACACGGATTTCATTGTTATATTAGTGATAGTATTAATTGAGATGATTTGAATCCCATTGTTAGTTTGTATTGCACTTGTCACATAAATACAGTAAGTGACGCTTCCTTGTTTCATCCTTTGAGATCAGAATTCTAGGGGTTTTCCTACTGTGTCTTCACATAAAATAAAAAGTTGCTATGACTGGTCACCTTATTGTGTGCCCTAGAACACTGCTGCTGTCAAAGCTTGGCTTTCTGGATTTGTATGATTTCATGAAAATCACATAATCACAGAATGGTTTGGGTTGGAGGGGACCTTAAAGACCATCTAATTCTACCCCTGTGCCATGGGCAGGGCCACCTCCCATCAGACCAGGCTGCCCAAAGCCCCATCCAGCCTGGCCTTGAGCACCTCCAGGGATGGGGCATCCACAGCTTCTCTGGGGCAACCTCAGAGTTGAGGCCAGTGTCTCACCACCCTCAGAGTAAAGAATTTCTTCCTAATATCTAATCTAAATCTCCCCTCTTTTAGTCTAAAGCCATTACTTCTTATCCTATTTCTATACTCCCTGACAGAGTCACTCCCCAGCTTTCCTGTAGGCTCCCTTTAGGTACTGCAGGTCAGCTATAAGGCCTCCCCAGAGCCTTCTCTTCTCCAGGCTGAACAACCCCAAATCCCTCAGCCTGTCTTCATAGGAGAGAGGAATCCCAGTTTATATGTACAAATAATATTTTGGCTTGCATAAGAGAAATTTTTGGTAATATGAATCTTAAAGATTCAAATACTGAAACCAAGGGAAGAGGGTGTGTGGGGAGGGGAACCTTCTGAATTTTAAACTGTTTTTTTTTTTTTTATTGTTGGGTACTGGTAAAGCTTAAAAATCTAGAAAGACTTGAAAAGTCAAAAGCTAGATGAGCTGCAGATCACAGGCAGTTGGAATGGCTTAAATAGAGTTACTGGAGGAAAAAAAAAAACAAAATGCAGCTGATGCTGGGAGATTCTGGTTGAATTGCAAAAAGGGATTGCTGTGGGCATCTATGGAGTCGTTGTGAAATGACAATTCAAAGTTAAGGCTAGATGTACTGGGGAGGCGTGGCAGAACCCATTTTATTGTTGGTGATAAGTAAGATCAAAAATACTTGCAGGTGGTAGGTGTTGTTTCAATACCTTGGGGACCATACTTGGGGACTTGCTACATTTCCCATTTGTAGCAGATAATTAAAACCAGTAGTGTTGGAAAGGATGAGAAACAGTCAGAAAGATAATTTGATTCTTTTTATTATTATTAATCTTATCTAACACGTGGACTTCTTACTATGCAGACAGTTTGAATAACGGGATGCCTGAGGTTTTATATAGCCTGCACTGTGGGATAGACTCAGGGCATTTGTTATTAGGAAGCTGATGGAAAAACCAGATTGTTGGAGGTGCTTTTCATACTTTTATTACAGATGATTGGAAAGAGATTAAGAGATGAAGCTCTTGCTGATCTCTGGACCAGTCTTATGACCTGTGTTCTGAATTTCTAAGCTGTAGTGTAATATTTTAAAGATGTTGGTGAAAAATGAAAGGAAATTAACAATCATAGTTTACATTTTCACTTAAAGGAAGAGAAGCCTTTTGGTATACTTGCTGCAGCAGCAGAGGATGCTGTCAGACTCCTGAGCAGCTCAACAGACTGCAGCTCCAGTCAGTCCTAACCCTGCCCTGAAGTAATGCTCGCTGTTACACCTCACTTAATGGAGTTGGCAGCAGCCGCCTGGAAGAAATGTCTGTTCTGCTTTTACATCTGGAACATCTTACAAGGATGTGTGCTCTCAGTCTCCTGCATGTCTCAGACCATTCCCAGACTGTAACAATGCTGCACCGAGTGTGATGGCCTGCAAAGATCCATCCTTTGTGCTGGGCAGGTCTCTTACTGCTCAGTGACTTAGGGTAGAGAGGTTCAGAAGTCACTGCGACAACATGGCTTCATCTCACTCTACATGATGGCTGTATTACATCCATCATGTAACGTTGTTGCTGCGACCTGCCACAGAAGGGGGAGAACACGGTTGGCTATGCAGCGTGTTCCTTACATGACGCTGAGCTTATTACATGGGGAGGGGGAACCTGATCTATGCAGGACCTGCCTTTATCAAAGAGCTGAAGAAGTGCAACTGAAAGCAGAAAATTCTTTAAAAATGTGTGAATCTTCCTAATATTTTATGTGAGAGCTCGGAGGGAAATGCAGCTGTTGTGCTTGGAACATGCCCATTTCTTTTCATCATTTTTGGCGTGGCTGGTTGTTGTTTTACCTCTGATCAGCAGCGATGCAAGTCCCTCGGTTTCAGCAGTGACTTAACTTTGCCACATGAGAGCTGTGTGGATGCAAGACGCGCCCATCATTATCCCAGAAGTTTTTACATTTCAGTGCCACTTGGAGAGGCAGGAGGTGAGGATGCATCTGTGTCCTGTACGAAGGAAACAAAGGGTGTAGAAATGGGTGGAGTGATGGGATAAAAGGACAATGTGAAAAGAGATCTGGGCAGAGCTGGCAAGCTAGTCCTGTAAGTCACACAGACAGCATATGCAAATATTGTTTATACAGTTTTTGAACAAAGACACCTTTCTGTAATGGAAACAAAGTAAAAACATTGTTCCAACAAGCTTAAACTCTACTTTCTCTGTACATTTCAACATGAAAATGTTCTATTTTCTGTAAGCTCTGTTGAGGAGAAAATAAATATTCTTTACTATAAGGATTAACTGATACAGAAGATGAATACGTACTATTAATACAAAAATTCATATCCACATGATGTGGTAGGTCATCACGTGTTGCATCTGTTACTTTAAAATCCCCTGTACAGGAGTCATATTGCTAGTGAACAAGACCTGCCTCATCAAGTAAAATCTTCTAGTCACATGCATTATAAGTTGAAGTTAATTTTTCTTTTTATTTATTCATACACTGGCTACATTATTTCTCCACCATCCTGTGTTTTGTATTTAATAACCACAAAGCTCAGAAGCCACAGACAACATCTTTGCACATGGGAATTAATGTAAAATTCAAGAAAGATTTTTTTTTTCTTAAAAAAGGTGTTTAATATTAGTATGTAATAAATTACAAACCAGCTAGCAGTTTTTGTTTTCCATTTGTTATTAAATGAACTTTTCAGTATAACTAATTTTTTTTTTGGTAGTGTTTCAAATTCATTCAGAATATTTAGTGGAGAGAGAAATTTGAGTAGTAATTGCAAAGTAAGATCTCTTTTAAAACCAAAGCAAGAACAAAAAACATTCACAATATCATTCTGGTGTGCACTGTTACTTGTAATTCTGCATATTTGTTACAATGAGTGCCTGTTCTGATTTCAGCCTGATACCACTAAATTAAAAGATTTGTTGACCAGAAGATTACACACACACAAATTACGTAAATATAATAATATAAACCTGTTTTCTCATTATCTTTATTTCTTTGAAAACACTAATTCTCAGCCTTTTTTCATTCATGATACGTGACTTCTTAAAATTTCAAATATGTGAACAGAAGACTTTCAGAGTGAGATACAGGGAAAATGTAGGCACCGTTTCTTAGATAGCTTTCTTGCCTTTTTATTGTTCATTCACAGCAAGTTTCAATACCACTTGTCCAACTCTAGCAGAAAGCCTTAGAAAATGTAATAAAATTATCGGGATGGGGAGAACATTCATTTTTCTCAGTGCAGCTCTTCTGGTAACTCTTTTTCTTCAACGCAGTCTTTATGATTGTGCAAAGGCAATCTTTGTACAATGTGGGTACTTTTCCTCTCCCTGGCTGGTCTCCAGCCATACGTTCAGATTCTTCCATGCCTGATTGAAGGTCAGCTGAGGAAGTTTCAGTCATCCTGCTAGGCAACACGGAAAGGTCAGCATGCTGTTTCGGGGGAAGGAATTGAACCCAAGGGTTTGCAGCACAACATACAACATCGGGCCTGTTCATAAGGACGGCTCTTTATTTTTGATTTTTTACAGAAAATGCACAGTTTGTCTTCGCGTTATCTCAGCTTTCCTTGTGAGAATCTCCCTTTTGTTTTCAGCTTTTTGTTAATGTACGTGCAGAACCTGAAAGTTAATCTTACATTTTTAAGTAACTTTTTTTATGCTTTTAAGTAACTAATTTTGGCCAATTGTTGCACTTATGGGAGAAAAAAAAAAAAGTAAACAGCAGAACTAACTTTTAACTAGGCCATAAGCATCAATAGGGGGAAAAAATGCCTCCCCAACACAAACAAACGAAAAACACCCAAAAAAGGATGACAACAACAAAAACCATGATGTTCTGAGCATGCCTGTCGAAGGCAAACCTGTAAGTAGTATTTGCTAAATTCAATTTAGTTACAGGTGTTTGGTTGCTAAGTGGGACCTGTTTAATCCTAGTTGTTTTGAATGCTGGATTTTCTCAGTTAATGCAGTTGTCACACTTTTTTTTTTTTCTTTTCTGACTGAACACCATGTGATTTGATTAAGAGGAGTAGTAAATGATGTCAACAGTACATGTATCTATGCAAAAGTAATCTCTGCTGTAACTCTCAATGATTTCCAGTTTCTAGAGTACGTGCTTTTTTTTTTTTTTCTGAGCGCCACGATTCCATAAATCCCAGCAAAACAACTTCCTGAAATATATCCATAAGAATACAGGTGAACCCTTGATACTTACTCACTGGCTTATCACGAATGGGAAACAGGATACATGATAATGCTTTTCTCTTCGAGTACAAATTTGAAAGTAATTCTGCCTGCACGTTTGCATCCTGCTGTTACTCAAGGGATATGTTTCATTGATGAATTATTCTACCCTTACTACACTTAGGATGTTGTCAGTCTCTCAATAGATTTGATGCAGAGATGAACGTAAATCTTGCTTTGGGAGTCTGAGGCTCAGGGAGGATATTGGAGTATGCACAGATGCTTGCACAGATTCGCTGCCACTGCAAAGCCTGGCTATTAACGCAGGGCAGGAACAGGCCATATATCACAGGGGTATCTGCTGCCTGCTCTGCATCAGGGCTTGTTCTGGTTTTCCCGTCCATGCAAATCCCATCAGCTCAGTTCTGCTCCTTTGTCCCTGCTGCTCCTTGTCTTACAGCTTCCTATTAGCATAACTAAAGCTAATTTCGCATCAGCTGCCTGTGCAGTTATTCATTGAATAACAGCTGCTTATATTATCTTACTCTATCTCTATTAATTATACTATTACCTGTATTGTCTCATTCTGAATGCTGTACTTTAACGAAAACTGCTGAGATCAAGTGACGTTGGCAAGAAAATTGCCTTGACTTAGTTTGATTTGTCTTTTTATTTGGATTTTTAATGGAGATGGTAGCTGGCAGTGAGGTGAGCCATGCAGTGGCTGCCATGTATCAGGTACAGGGCCAGTTCCCTGGTAGCGAGAGCTTCTGGGAACAATGTCAGAAGCAAAGATATCTTCCCTTGATGTAGGCTGTTTTCATGTCTAGAAAAGTGCAAGAGCTGTAACTTGGATTCACAAATGGACTCACTAAACCAAAGCTGTTGAAAGAGGCAAAGAAAACCATGTTAGTTCTGCAAGTAGGAGACCTGGGTTTGGAGAACTTGAGGGACTTGACTGATGATAATTTATACTAAAGCTTTTGTGACAAAGAAAATGTAAACAATTCATCTTCTTTGCTAGTAACAAACACTGCTGCTGTCATTTTTAATAACAGCATGTAATGAACTGCCAGATAATGTTCAGTTACAGTGAACTAAAATCAGTAGCTTAGATGTCTATCACTGAGAGCTTCTCTGTTGGCTTTGACAGAGCGAGACTATTCTCACACCCCCCCTTGGAAGATGCAGTTAGATATATTTTATAGGTGGAGCCATGATGCTTAGATGCTGCTCGATTGCATTACACTAACAAGGTTGCCTCTTGTGCATCAATTCCTTCTGCTGACTTCCCTGCAACACGGAGGAAAAGGGACGAAGGCTGAGCAGAGCAGTGGATGGAGAGATTAATGTAGTAATGAGAGGAAGACGAAATTGAGAGTGTATGGACAGGGTGGAAACAAAAAGAAGGAATGGATGTTGACTGGCAAAAAACTAAACTGGGAAATAGCCAGTGGGGTGGAGGAGAACAGGAGACAAAGAATAGGATTTTAGGAGGAGGAGATGGGGTGTGGCAGGGGAAAGGAAGGAGAGCCAGGGCTAGACAGTTGCAGAAGAGGAATTAGAAGAGTAGCAGGTGAAGAAGGGATTTTGGAGAACACACTGAAAGCTCGAATCTAAGAATACTTGGTCTGTACGTGAGTTTTCTGTCCAAAAATGCACAGAAACTGCAGAGTGTGTCATGCTCCTTTAGTGGCTCTTCTGTATAGAAGATAAGGGTCTTCTTATTCTCATTATTTGGGTTAATAAAACAAGTGGTACGAAAGACAGAACCCAGTCTGTAAAGAGCTTTTTTTCTCTTTTAAAATTTATTTCATTTTTTAAAAGGCTGTGCTAAAAGACTATATTATTACAAAATTGAGCACTCTGAGTTGGAACGGGAAATGGTAATATTGAAGTTGCAAATCCAAGATAAGATTTTTACAGTTAGGTCTGGCCAAAATAGTATATAAGTAAGCCTTTAAACAGACTAACTAGGTGTTAATAGCAGCCTTTAAAATTTAACTGCAGGATTTAAAGGATTTATCTATACATGCAGCTCCAGGATTCCTTGGGTGGAGGGGCTGCTTCCAGAATAATGTTTGTATTTCTGTTGATCTTCATCAATTGCAATCTAGTTCACTTTCAACTGGGGTAATGTAAGGTGATGGTATTCATCAGTTTAGGTGAGATTTGCTTAAATATATAGATATATAAATATAAATTTGTTTTGTTTATTGACTACTTCAGGAACCAGTGCTCCCTATTTTGTAGCTGTGAGAATTAGGCGTATAATTTGAAAAAAAAAAATCACATTTCTTAAATTTCACATTTAAAAAGTTACAGCAAAGCTCCCAGTAGTATGGAAATCACACTTAAGAGTTAGTTCAGAGGAATTTTTAGCTGACTCTTGTGCAGCACGGATACTGTAGGTGCCTTCTGAATGAGGGTGTGTATGTGTATGGCTGACCCACCGCTTTCTGTCTCAGTTCTTCTCTAAGTCATTTTTTTTCCTGTTGATGGGCCTTGCACTATTGTTACTATAATTATAAAATCCTATGCTAAAATAAATGTTGGAGAGAAAGGTTCTTTGTGATTTTTTTTTTTTTTTATGGAGTATGGCTTTAGCTATTTCATTCTGAATTTACATTTATCTTATGTGATGCCATTGCATAAAAATGTGGGATTATAATTGTACCATACTTATTAGTGCCTGTGCTTTTGTGTGTGTAAAAGTATGTATATATTTATTTATATCTATATACTTGTGCATCGAACACAGCATTGCTAGCTAGTTAAAGGAAGCCATTGTCCCACTCTGTTCTGCGCTGGCATGGCTCTCACCTCAAGCACTGTGTTCTGTTTTGGGCGCTACCTTCTTATAAGAAGGACATAAAACTATTAGAGAATATCCAAAGGAGGGCTGTGAAGATGGTGAAGGGTCTAGAGGGGAAGACGTATGAGTAGAAGTAGAGGTCTCTCTGTTTGTTCAGCCCAGAGCGGAGCAGGCTGAGGGGAGGCCTCATGGCGGCCTGCAGCTCCCTCACAAGGGGAGTGGAGGGGCAGGCACTGAGCTCTGCTCTCTGGGGACAGCGACAGGACCCGAGGGACGAGGGGACGGCATGGAGCTGGGACAGGGGAGGGTCAGGCTGGGGGTTAGGGAAAGGTTCTGCACCCAGAGGGTGGTTGGGCACTGGAGCAGGCTCCCCAGGGCAGCGGGCACAGCACCGAGCCTGCCTGGAGTTCAAGAGGCACTTGGACAACACTCTCAGACATAGGGTCTGAGATTTGGGTGTTCCTATGTGGAGCCAGGAGTTGGACTTGATGATCCTTGTAGGGTCCCTTCCAACTTAACACATTCTATGATCTGCTCTTGTGGAGACGTTGTGTTACTTCACCTTGATTTGCTTTTGATGTTCATTGCTGATGGATTGGGGCGTACAAGGAGATGTACAAGTGGAGGTGGAAGATCATTTGCTTCCTCTAATATTTCTTTTATGGGGGCTTTGGTTTAAAACAATTCGTTTGGAAGGATTGCCTAAAGGAAAAACAAAAACAAAAACAAACAAAACAAAAAACAAACAAACAAACAAACACAAAAATAATGACAACACCCTCCCTCTGCACATTTGCAATAGCTGTCTATTGCTGTGTTTATGCAGCACATAGCACAACAGAGAAAAATCAGTGACTATCACAGTATAAACAAACAAACAAATACGGTCCAATACATGATTATCCCCTTCCCGTCTTTCTCCTAACTTTCCCTCTCCCCACTTGGTTATGGGAAGACAGAAGAGTGAAACATCGCTCGTGCTGTAGCGTAAGCACAGGCTGCAGTGAGCTAACAGGACAGATGCAGCCAAGCCCTCATAACACAGGCGTGAATGGAGGACACATTGCAGGGAACTGTGTGAATAGTTTTGGTGTCTGTTATTGTTCCCTTTCATATAAAAATACTTTGTTTTAACTACCTGTTTATTTAGCTGTTTTCAATGCAAGTTAGATATTTTGCAGTGTATTCACAAAATACCATAACACATTTCATGTGGCCACAAGCCAGTATGGTTGTACTGGTAGTTTCCTAAATATTTACAGCTAAGGACCAATGGGGATGCTACTGGTTTTCATTTATTGTCACTTTATTTCTGATTTGAATTTCAGATTTGGTTTTATTTATATTTTGAGTGTGGGTGTGTTTGTATACTCTTATTTTTTTTCTTGCTGAACGATGTGTGAACTAGCCACCTTGTACAGAACAACAGGGCATGAGCTCCTGTTTGCTGTTGGTAACCATGACTCAGCTGTGTTATTTTTAACATTGCAAATGTGAATGTATTCTTCTCCTACATTCTTATTTTTTTAAAGTTGTTATTATTATTTCCTACAGTTAAGTGTTGTTTTTTTTTTATTTATTTACCATCAGCCTGGAAATCTAGGTGGTATATCTACATGTATAACCCAGCAAGCTCCCAAAAATTGAATATTTTAACAATCACTGTTATCGTTTTGTAATCGGAGCTGCTGATGTCGGGTGACATTCTTGCCCTTT